TCCGCCAATGTCCCGGTGCGGGGAGCTTGTGTCCAGGGCGAGTTGTGCGCGGCTGCTTCTCTCCGCCGCCTCGGTCCCCTCTGCCCAGAGGATGCGGCGTGGAGTCAGGGCTGCGCCTCCCCTCTCTGGGCTCTTGTGGGTTTGAGAACGAATGGGCTCTTAAAAAAACACCTGGTTTTGGAATTGGTGGCAGCCCCTCTGGTTTACATGCAGCCTGTCACGCTTGCAACTGTTCTTTATTGCAGAGCAAGGCTTCCTGCTTGCCCCCCTGTCCCCTCTTTTTTTTTTTTTTTTTTTTTGGAATGGAGATTTCTTCCCATCAGTTTCACCTCCTGCAGCAACTCAATGAGCAGCGCAAGCAAGACTTGTTCTGTGACTGCTGTATCCTGGTGGAGGGGAAGGTCTTCAAAGCCCATCGCAATGTGCTGTTTGCCACTAGTGGTTATTTCAAAATGCTCCTTTCCCAGAGCTCAAAGGATCCGAGTCAGCCAACCACTGCTACCTTCCAGGCCTTTTCTCCTGACACGTTTACAGTTATTCTGGATTTTGTGTATTCTGGCAAACTTTCCCTCACTGGCCACAATGTGATTGAGGTCATGTCGGCTGCCAGCTATCTTCAGATGACTGACGTTATTAGTGTGTGTAAGACGTTCATCAAGTCCTCCCTGGACATCAGTGAGAAGGAGAAGGATCGGTATTTCAGCCTGTCGGACAAAGATGTGAACTCCAATGGCGTGGAACGCTCCTGCTTGTATGGGGCTGACTGGAGAACGGAAAACAGCCCCCCTCATTCTCACTTAAACCCTGATCAAGGGACTTGCGTGATGAGTGGCAATGCTTGGAGCAATTTCAGCTACTATCCAGCTTCGCAGAGAAATGCGCAGCAGCAGTTGGCCAAACATGACCAAAGGCAGGAGTCTATCAAAAAGACTAGACATTTGGGATTGCAACAATCCTCCGACGTTCCCCATTATAAGTCAAGCAAGCTTGAAGACCGATCCGCAGACCCTCCTAGCCACCTTTCTCCATCTGAGGAGGAAGTCCAAATTGACACAGAAATTGACTCTGCCCATGCTGGGTACCAGTATGGTCAGGGGTCCGAGGTGATGCCAAGGAGCTTGGTTGTGACACAGCAAGAACACGAATCACCCCATTCTTCTAGCAAGTCAAAGTCCTCAAAAGCCGATGAGCAGTATGGCAACATACCCTCAATTTTAGGTGTAATGGGGAGCTGGGCTGAAGGTAAGAGTTGGTCATTTGTACCTCTCTCCTCATTTTCTTTCAAAGATGATGTTTGAATTTTTACTGGGTGAAAGTTGCAATGGAAAACATGTATCACCAGCTCTGTCGATGGGGAAAAATATCTGACTGTGTCCAAAAGGCAGGGGGAGGGAATATGTTCAGCTGCATTGCCTACAAATGCAGGATTGGAAAATAATATTCCCTAAGTGGTCCAATTCTGTAATGGCATGAACGGTACCTCTCTACTGTAAGTCACCAAGTTCTGAATTGGTTTCTCAAGCTTTGGAAGGATTCCAAAATGAGGTGAGTGTCATAGAATTAGAGCTCTCACTTTTTCCTCTCCCGCTTTAATTCCATCGCATTAACCCCTGTGCCGTTAGGTAGACACAGAAACACAAAATCATGCATTGAAGGTATTTAGCAAACCATTGGGACCCTGGGGTAGGTTCTCAGCAAGGGTAAATCTTTAGCTCTGTTGATTTGTACTCCTTTTTATTTCTGCAGTATCTTTTTGGAGATATGGTGTCCAGAACTGAATACAGTATTCCAAGGGAGAGTGTACCAGCTGATGGTATTAGCTCTTCATAGTAGTTTTCAATCCTTTCCTTTTTACATTGTAATACTTGTGGTGTTTTACCATTGTTGCATGCTGAGCAGAAGTCTTTGCGGAGCTGTCCACAAGGATCCTCAGGATGTAGAGCAGTCAGGTGCATACATAATTCCATCGTATGAACTATGAGCTGTTTATGGAAAAGAAACTGAGTAGCTGTTTTTTAGCCAAAGTTCTCTCTTTAGTACAGAGAATATCCGAGACTACTCTTTCAAGTTGGAACCAAAGTGGGCTTTTTTTTTCCCCTATAAAAGGAATATAGGATCTTATTAAGTTCTTATAGAAGTATTAGAACTTTGGCAGAGATGGGCAGCTAATGAGGCCAACTTTTTCAGGTTTCAAGCTTTATGACTTCTTCTAAAATGTATTTCTGCTGACTAAAACTTCTCGTACATCTGTATTTCCCAAAACAGCTCTTGAAACTGTACTCTAAATAGAAGATTCATCCAGTGTTGCTCAGGTTCTTAACTCAACTAAGTTCAGTTTTTCTTCATTTGAATAGTTGCTGTGGATGGGGTTGGGGAAGAGGGGTTCAGTCTGCAGGCTGCCCAGGGGAGAGAGGACAACACCAGCCCTCTCCTACTGCAGAAGCTTGGGGCCAGGTGAGAAGCACCTCTCCATGGCTACGTTTGCACGTATATTTCAGTTTGTCTGTCTCCCAGCTGTGCCCACTGCAGCAGCCAGGGGCTATGTCTTGCACGAAAAATATGCAAATGACACTGTGTGGAATATCATCGAGCCTCATTTGAATACCTAATGAGCCCCCATTTTTGCAGAAAAGGCTCTTGCGCCAGAAGGAGCTGTCTACACGGCCCCTTCTTGCGCAAGAAAAACCCCTCTTGCGCAATGCCGCTATGCCGATTATTTTCAGGAATAACTGCATTGCGCAAGAGGGGGTTTTCTTGCCCAAGAAGGGGCCGTGTAGACAGCTCCTTCTGGCGCAAGAGCCTTTTCTGCAAAAATGGGGGCTCATTAGGTATTCAAATGAGGCTCGATGATATTCCACACAGTGTCATTTGCATATTTTTCGTGCAAGACATAGCCCCTGGCTGCTGCAGTGGGCACAGCTGGGAGACAGACAAACTGAAATATATATATAGTAGATAGCTGTCCCTTTCTTCATCACTGTTGGCTCACAGTGGGGTTGTCCCAGTCCCCATCTCTGGCCCCTTGTTGCTCTCCTACCACCCCGTCCTTCTGGAATACAACTGTCCCTCCTACCAGACCCCTCTCTTTCCGTTATATGAGAAAAATCGAACTCCAGGTATATCCCATTGTCCTGGCGCAACCAAACCCTGACCTTCCTTTAAGTTGTCATAAGAGGAAGCTGCCTACCAAATTTGGTGGTCTTAGCTCTTACCACTTAGGAGGAGTTGTTGAACAAATGAACTCGAGGACGGACACACAGACAGATGCACAAACTCTCAAATATATAGTAGATAATTGGTCTCTCTTGTGAGTTTTTGTTTTATCACTTCTTCCTTTTGGTTCTAGTTATTGGGCATTATTAAATGTAATGTTCTGCTTACTAGTGGGCAGTAGAGACAGTCTTCCAGAGAATACGTATAGTTACACAATTCAAGCTTGGAGTGGCAGACAACTAAACACTAGAGTTCAGATATAGGATCTTTTAAGATTTATCGATCAGAGATTCCTGGAGGAAGTGAAAGGTGTCAGAAAGACCTCTTAGAATCCTAGGGTGGGAAGAGCCCTCAGGAGGTCATCAAGTCCAACCCCCTGCCCAAAGCAGGACCAGCCCCGACTAAACCATCCCGGCCCGAGCTTTATCAAGCTGGGATTTAAACACCTCCAGGATGGAGATTCTATCACCTCCCTAGGCAACCCATTCCAGTGCTTCAGTGAAATAGTTTTTCCTAATATCCAGGCTAGACCACCCCTACTGCAATTTGAGATCATTGCTTCTTTTTCTACCATCTGCTACTACTGAGAACAGCCTCTCTCCAGCCTCTTTGGAACTCTCCTGTTTTTCAGGTAGCTGAAGGCTGCTATCAAATCCCCCGTCACTCTTCTCTTCTGTAGACTAAATAAGCCCAAATCCCTCAGCCTCTCCTCATGTGCTCCAGCCACTCATCATTGTGGTTGCCCTCTGCTGCACTTTCTCCAGTGCACATTCTTTCTGAAATGGGGGGCCTGAATTGGACGCAGTACTCCAGATGTGGCCTCACCAGTGTCGAATAAAGGGGAATAATAACTTCTCTAGATCTGCCAGCATGGCTCCTACTAATGCACCCTAATATGCCGTTAGCCTACTTGGCTACAAGGGCACACTGTTGACTCATCCAGCTTCTCATCCGCTGTAATCCCCAGATCCTTTTCTGTAGAATTGCAGCTTAGCCAGTCGGTCCCCAGCCTGTAGAAGGGATTGGGATTCTTCTGTCCTAAGTTCAGGACTCTGCACTTGTCCTTGTTGAACCTCATCAGATTTCTTTTGGCTCAATCTTCCAGTTTGCCTAGGTTATGCTGGAGGGTAGGGATAGGGTCCCTCCCCTAGCTAGTGTCATCTGCAGACTTGCTGAGGGTGCAATCCATCCCCTCATCGAGGTCATGAATAAAGATGAACAAACCTGGCCCTAGAACCGATCCTTGGAGCACTCTGCTTGATACCAACCCAGCATCGAGCCGTTGATCACTACCAGTTGAGCCTGACAACCCAGCCAGCTTTCTATCCACCTTTACAGTCCATTTATCCAATCCATACTTCCTTAACTTGCTGGCAAGAATACCGTGGAGACCGTATCAAAAGCCTTGCTCAAGTCAAGGTATATCATGTCCACTGCCTTCCACAGAGCCAGTTACCCAATTGCCTTCTATGACGAGGTAGGTCAGGCATGACTTACCCTTGGTGAATTCATGTTGACTGTTCCTGATCACTTTCCCCTCTTCTAAGTGCTTCAAAATGGATTAGTTGCGGATTCCCTCCATGATCTTTCCAGGGACTGAGGCGAGCCTCCTCCATTTGACTTATCCAGAACAACTCGTCCAGTTCTAGAACAAATTTATGGGACCCAAAAACTCAGTTTGACTCCATCTGGTCACTCAAGTTACTTTATTAGAAAGTAACAGCTCTATGCCCATGCTAACCAGGCCCAGACACAGGGTTAGGTTCAGGATGATAGGGTGTAGAATCGAGGTTATCACGCAGTATACGGTTTCCTAGTACTAATATCTGTGCTTCTTGACTCTAATTGGCTTAGACATTGTACAGGACCAGTCGCTGACATCCTCATTTCGAGCTTATCAGTTCAGCATGATCCCACTTACCTCAAGAAGCCCAAAGAATGCCATCTCCAGCTCACAGCTTGTTACGCCCTTGTTTACTGTTAAACCTCGCACTCAAATCAAGCTATAGGCAAGTTTACTCCTGCCCAGCAAGATCTGTGCCAAGAGAAGGCCCTCAAAACTATTTTACTTTTAATTGCATGATACTAGTCAACTAACATTCCCTCTGCTCTTATCATGTTAAGAGCCTGAGGAGGAAAAGAGGAAGGTCATGGTGGTGACAACTTTATAAAGTAGTGGAAGGGTATAGACATGGGTTTTATTTCAAATTGGGCAGCTGACTCACTGTATAGGCAAGCCATTTAGGTCCGAGTCCTATGAATGCTGATGTCAATAGGACTAGCCACATGCTTGCAGTTAATAAAGCATTTTAAAAAAAAAAGTCTTTTTTTTGAAGGACGGGGACCTCAAGTTGCTGATCTGTAAAATAGGGATAATAATGCTTATTTGCCGGTGGAAAGCATTATGTAAGTGCTATGTAGCTAGTTGCTATTGTTGGGGATTCTCTCCCAATTTTTAGGTTAATTCCCTGACACTTTTTGCTTGTTACTGCTTTGGCATTTCAACAGATTTTTTTTTTTTTTTTTTTGAGGCACGAAACAACTTTTGTGTACTTATGGCCAGGGGAGCCGGTAGCCTCACTGGGTCCCTGGGCAAGGAAGGGTGCTGGGGGAGCAGCTCTGCACTGTTGGAAGGGGCAGGGCTAGGGTAGCCGGCTTTGTGTCCCCTGGGCTGTGGTGTGTCCCTCTTTCACCTCCCTTCGAACCCTCAGGGCTGCCTGGAGTGTGCCACATGGCACTCTGGTGTCAGTTTTTGAAGGGCTCTGGGTGCCATTCCCTTTCAAATAGTTGCCCCCTTTATTCCTCCTGTCCCTGCCCCCCCCCTTGGCGGGCCTGCTTAAACCTCAGTTCTTCTATCTTGGCAGGTTGACAGTGAGGCTGTACAGTATAACTCGGGTGGGCAATAGTTTTGGATGGGGGGGCGCTCCAAGAATTTGGAAAGTGGTCAAGGGCCGCACTCTTCCATATTAATGGTGGAGGTGTGGGGTCTGGGATGGAGATTGGGTGCAGAAGGGAGCTTGGAGTAAGGAAGTGGATTGCAGGAGGGAGTTGGAGTGAGGGAGGCAGTTGTGACCCGGAGCATAGGACTGGAGTGCATGGGCTTGGGTTGTGGTCTAGGGCAGGGAATTGGGGTACAGGAGAGGGTGCAGGGGTTTGGTTGTGAGCTAGAGCAGATGGGGATTGTTATCTGGGGCAGGGGGTTGGGGAAGGCTGCAGCACCAAAGGCAGGCTCTAGCCAGGAGATTTACCAGCCAGCAGTCCAGCAGCTTCTCAGGCAGGCAAGGAGCCTCCACAGCTGCAGCCATGTGCTTTGTGAATAACTATGAGCCCAGGAGGGGAGGGAGGGGGGTGTGATGTTTCATGGCTGCCTGTTGTTCAAACAGGCAGCTCCCATTGGTCAGTTTCTGGCCAGAAACTGACCAATGGGATTGTGCTGAGGGCAGGAGCAGCACTTGAAGCCTTCCCCCTCCCCTCCGGGCTCAAGGTTTTTAAAGATAAACTGCCCCACAGCCACGTTTCTGAGCGGTGTTCAAGTGGGGCGAGGCAAGCGGGGAGCCTTCCTGGAGCTCCTCGTGGTGTACACAGGCTATAGTTGGTGGCTTGGTGAACCAGATGCAGCCTAAAGGCGGTATTTTTGCCCAGGCCTGGTATAACTAGTAGAGAAGCTGGTTTTTTTCACACACACACATTACAAAGAGAGCAGCTGAATTATAAGTAGCTATTTCGACCAAACTCCATTGTTACCACAATCAAAGTGTTTGTGCAGGCTGGCTTATAAACACTAAGCCTTCCAAATAAACCTCAGTGGTGCCCTAGTTTCATCCAGCAGGTTAGGTCAATATTCTTTATTTCTTCTTATCCGCTTTAATACAGCCCATTGCGAAGTCCTTCTCCTTTATCCTGTAGCTACAGATTTCACACGAGAAAGCCGACCACCTGTGGAACTGAAGGGTTGACTGGGTGGGGTTCACTGACTCTTTCAGAATGAAACCGACATGCAGTTCGGCTCGCGCTGGTCCCTTTCGTAAAGTATCTTTCGGAATCTCGCATGCTTGGATTTGTGATGACTCTTTTTTTTCCAGATTTTTAATAGGATTGTTTTGTAACAGATGATCTGCCCAGGATGAGATTCAAGTGCCCTTTCTGCACCCATGTGGTGAAGCGAAAAGCGGACCTAAAGCGCCACCTTCGTTGCCATACAGGAGAGCGACCTTATCCCTGTGAGGCATGTGGAAAAAGATTTAGCAGGCTAGACCACCTAAGTAGCCATTTTCGAACAGTATGTATTTGAGACACCGACTGCATGGCTTCATTGCGTGTGTGTACAAGTGTATGTTTTGGAGTACAATGCTGTATGGATGCATCTTATTTTAAGTTATTCAATCTGCCTGGTGTGGTTATGCCAGTTTTCTTAAAGCAATAGTAATTTAAAACAAGATTCTTGTGGTTTTAAAAACATGTTGACTAGAAATGTAATCCTTTTGAAAGGGGATGCATTTCATCCTAGCTTACAGGGCTTGCAAAAGTGCTATGTACAATTTCCGACCTCTGATTGGAGCATACCACTAATATGAGCCCTTTGGAGATGTGTGAATGTCACTTAAAAGGAGCGGAAAAGTAGTTTTTGGCACTCCTGCTGCCACATCAGTTTCTTTGTCTTAAAAAATCACTCTGCACGCGTGTGCGTTCTCTCTCTCCTTGTTGCTACGTAAAAGCAGCATATAAATGAGGAAACAAACAGACCCACTTATTTGACAATACCTAAAGTAAAACTGAAAATACCGACTCTCCTCAAGTGTGAGTACACTAGTAGTTTAGCTCTTTTTAAATATGGGGGTTTGTTTATTTAATTCTTGTTCATTAATTTTAAAAAATACATGAATTTGGGAATAAGGTAAAACTGGTGGGATGCGGTGAAAGGCTGCAATACTTGAGAAAGGAGACATGTCAGCAGAAGGAGGAGAGGAATCTGGCAGGTTGGCTGGAAGACTTAGAGCAGCTACAGGTGTGCCAGTGGCTGGAAGGGGGAGCTATTGCATGTGTAACAGCTGGGCAAAAAGCTATCCCAGAAGACCACGCTCTTTAGAGAGGGATAAACAGTGCTATGCCAGCACTAGAACCCTTTAGACTTCTTAAGCAATTGCCGCGCTATCATTTTAATAGTGCTTCATGATGCTAATTAAAATCCTAGACTCTTCCTTTTCACGGTTGTCCTTCAGGCCCTTAACATAGATTAAAAAGACTTACAACAGTCTAATGTACAGCGTGGGGGTTTAAAAGGCTAACTGGGTAACTGGTATCCAGCTAGAGCAACCCTCCACAGGCAGGGGGCTGCTTCAGCCCCACAGGGCCCACCATAGGCAGGAGCTGCTCCAGCTGGCCGGAGCAGCCCCTGTCTGTGACTGGCCTGGTCCCCCTGTGGCTGGTCACACACTGTGGCTCCCTGGAAACAGGGTTACCTTTTGAAACAACTTCTTACATCCCCAGTACATACCCCAAAAAGTTTACTATGTAAAGACGTAGAGCAGTGGCCGAGGACTAGACACAGTGAGCTTTTTACTTCCTCCTGCTCCCATCCCCTCCAAAAATACAAAGCTACCACTCAAGCTAGAGGATTTCACTAACTGTCTGCTTACCTCGTTTCAGGAAAAAGCTAATAGCTTTTCATACACATATGGCATCTCCTCATTGTTGGGAAAGTTATATCTGGAAAAAAAACCTTGTTATTTACACTTAAGGAATTAATCCTACATCCATCTTCATGAATGAACAATTACTTTACCTATTAGATTCATGTTTTGGATCCTGTCAGGTTGAAAATTGTGTCTGTAATCCTAGATCTACAAGCCAGACACAGAAAGATGGAATTAGGTGCTTTCTAACAAAAAACTGTGTTAAAAATGCACACAAGCAATATGTTCTCCCTCTTACAAAATGTACCAGATAAAATTATTATTTGAAAACGAAATACCAAATTATTGAGTGAGCATGGTTCTGTCATGCTACTTAAGTAACAAATCACAATGCTTTATTGCTGTTTTGTTTTGTTTTTAATTCTCAATTATGACACTATTTAGCCAGAATTCAGTTCCTTTGTGGGTGGGGTAGATTTTATGTACGCTGTCTTGATCCTTAACATTAACAATGTAATTTCCCAACCCAGCCTGTCCTTGCAGACAGAATTATAAACTTTAGACTAAGAATTTTTCAAAAAAGGCAAATGCTTTGTAGTACTGAGGTCATAATGTAACATTTTCGGCTCCCCTGTGAAATCTCCTTTCGTGCTACGCTGTTGGTTTATTTAAATCCGCCTAAATGAATTTCTTTCGTTTTTAAACTTGTGAAGCACCAGCTTTTGTCTGTTTCAACTTCCACAGATTCATCAGGCCTGCAAGCCAATCTGCAGGAAGTGTAAACGCCATGTGACTGAGCTTACAGGGCAAGTGGTCCAAGAGGGGACCAGACGATACAGACTCTGTAACGAGTGTCTGGCTGAAGCGGGCATAGACAGCATCCGCATTGACTTGGATGGCGAACCACAACTTGACTTTCCACAAGACGGGGATAAAGATTCTAGGTGGAATTACAGCGAAGACAACCGGTCGGATGTGGAGATTGTGGAAGATGGATCTACCGACTTGGTCATCCAGCAGGTTGATGACAGTGACGATGAAGCAGAAGAACAGGAAGTAAAGCCAAATATTAGGTAGTTGTGAGTGAACTGAAAATTAGTGAAATGTCCCCTCCTACATTGACTTCCTGTGTCTTGACCATTCGTTCCCAACCAGCCTGTTCTTACTATACAAAGATCTACTTACTACATTGGCTTTTCATGAACTTGTCTAAATTTGCATGCATTTATGGACATGCCACTGAGTCCATTTTGAATTTCATTACTCAAAGTATCAACATTTTGCTCATTAGAATTCATCCTGAGATGGAATAATGGATGAACAATGAATCTGACGTACTAAAATAACTCTTTATAGCAGACGGTGGGTCCCTTTCGCAAACCCTTTTTTCATTGTGGGGAGGGGTAAAAACATTTTAAGACAAATTTCACACTTCATTGTAAATTACCCTATTTTAAAACTTTTCTAGGCATGGCGGTGGGGGGATTATAGCCAGGATCACCTGGTGACAGCACAGTACAAGAAGGTAGCTCAGTGTAGAACATAAGAAAAAATCTTCTTTAAAATCCAGAAATGAGGGTGCCCTTCTATGGAATTTAATAATGTCTTGATATCCAGTTTAGAGAAGCCAGGCAGAGCTTTCAGAAATATTGTATATAAAATGTTTTAGATGTGATAGCGCACATATTGGGAAAAGCACTTTTTTTTTTGTAAAATTTCTTCTTTAAAAAAAAAAAAATTAGACCATTCATTCAAGAAATCTTTGCCCAGAAAATAAACAAATGGATACAACTTCTAGTAAATGCATGACAGATCAAGTGATGGCTGACCAAAATCATTCACTCATACCGTTAAATGTTTATTCAGTCTAAAAATTGGGAATACTCCTTCTTCCCATCAGACTTACTCAGTCTTTTGTTAACTGCTGAGGAAAGCAATTTTTATAAAATAATTTAAAAAAAATTTTTTTAACTTCTCTAAAGTGCCAAACCGACATGACTGAGAATTGTATGTAATGGAGACAATCTTTTGAGCCACACAGGACTCTGACCAAAAGAGGAACTTTATGTTGCTCAAAAGCTTGTCGCGCTCACCAACAGATGTTTATCCAATAAAAGTTAGTACCTCACCCATCATGAGTGAGGTTTGTTAGTTATAAGAACAGAAACTGCCTTTAGTAATGCTACTTGGAAAGGAAATTCAAAGGCGAAAGGGTTGTTTTAGCCTTCATGCTAGTTCCCCTCTTAAGCCTTCCCTTAAGTTATCAACAATGGTTTCACAGCTAACTAACATGTATACTAGGGATGTAAGCAACTACATGACTATCTGATCAGCATAAGCTTATCGGATTGTCGACTAGTCTCTCAGCTGGTTGCTTCTCCCTCCCCCTTGCTGCCTCTATCAGAGAGAGGCAGCAAGAAGGGGAAGCAGGAGCCGGTGCTGGGGGGAGCCGACTTAAAAATCGCTTCCGCCCAGCACCGTCTCCACTGGAGGCAGGAGAGGGCAGAGGGGTAACGGGCACCAGCCGTGAGCTGGGAATCAGCTGATTCCCAGCTCGCACCCAGTCTTAGATGCTGTGCCCCCACTTTTAAAATGTATTAAGAGCTATAAGGCCCTTAATGCATTTAAAAAGCAGAAGTGCAGTGGGGGAGGGACCCGGCGCAATAAACACAAATCAACTGTCCCAGCTTGCGTCTGGTCCCCAGTGCTGCACACCAGCCTTTTAAAGGTATTAAAAGCCTCCTGGCTCTTAATATCTTTAAAAGCCAGCGCCACAATGGGGTTAACTCCTGGGGTCAGGATCTAACCCCTTGCAGCTCCCCTGCTTATCAACTAGTCAATTAGTTCATCAAACTAAATTTAATATCCCTAATGTAAAATTAGTTGGTATTAGTTATGGTCCTAAGCCACTGAATATACAGTGGTCTGTACTCAGTTTGAATTGGTGAGTTAAAAGGTCCACGTAACTTAATGTTCCCAAAGTCATTCAGTTACCAAACAAACCTAGTAATCTTTTCCTGAGCTTTCTCAGTTATAGGAAGCACCAGTGAACAATATGCACTGAAAACAATATTTGCAATTTGTTACTTTGTCTCCAGTTAGAATACAAGAGGTGATAAGTGCCAACCAGAGACTGCTGCAGAAACAAAATAAGCCGCTTTTACTCTCTGATACAGTGAATGAGTTAACCAGCACTGCAAACATGAAACAAACCCATGCATGTTAGACAGAAATAATCTGGAGTTGGATAATTAAAAGATAATTTAACATCATTATTAAAAGCTTCATCCTGCCCTTATGAAAATTACTGATAGAATTTATTTCAATGGGTGCAGGATTGTACATTTCTATTTTCTAGAAGTCTTTCTTGTCTGAATTTTTCTCTGATAGTAAATTGCAGGTTTTATTTCTTTGCACTGTATCAATAAGCATGCTTGCCTGAAGTCTGGATTAATTACAGCAACGTTACAAAAGTGTACTATTATAATCGCTCTACCACTTACATCTTTTAAGAAAGCACTACTTGAAATCCCCTTATGTAAAGCTGCATTATCTTAATTTGATATCTGCATTACCTGAGAGATCAGCTATTTTTTTGGGAGGGGGGAGGGCAAATACTAGAAACCTGACTGAGGCCTTTCTGGAGATCATAGTTGGGTTCTACATGTCCACGCTGGCAGAGAATGAGTGCAGTCCAGAAGTAGCATAGAATCATAGCATACTAGGACTGGAAGGGACCTGGAGAGGTCATTGAGTCCAGTCCCCTGCCCTCATGGCAGGACCAAGCACTGTCTAGGCCATCCCTAGGTCTAGGGATGAGGATGCTAGGAAGAGGAATACCCTCGTTTACTTTTGCCTGCTTCAGAAACAGTATTAACTTCCTCCAAAGAAAGTTGTCTGTTCTCTCTCATATGGCAGAATGGGATAACCAGGGCTCGACAGTTACTGTAATCTACTCGCCCGTGGCAAGTAGATTACAAGCCGGCGCAGCATGGTCTGCACGTGCGCAGCGTGCCGAACCATGCGGCTGGCGAGCGGGGCTCACCACCGCTTGGCGAGCCCTGGGGATACCCATAGGTGAATTCTGACAAGTGAAAGGAGGTTTTAATTTTGGTTATTCCAGATTTTTCCCCTGCTCTCCGTGGTGTACTTATGTTCCTTTTTACGCAGAAATTTGCACAGGAGGTTTGCTCTGAAACTGCACAGAAAACTTTTGAAGTTTTCCGCCTTGACAAAACTCCTGTACTGGCTGGCAGGGGCAAAAAATCCAAACCAAGTTCTTCCTTTTCTGCCAAAACTTTTATTACGAGTAAATACTTTGCAATATAGTCTCTGATCACCCCATATTAACTTTCAGACCTAGCAAAGGAATGTGTATAGAGTGATGGAAGGGTTTCAAGCGGCAGTTCACTCAGTAATTGGGGAACAGAAACCTGATTTATAGGTAAGAAGGAAAACAGTTCTGTCACCATAAAATCTCCTTGGCAGAGCCCTCTCGGCCACAATATTGGGTGATCGATCACAACAGAGGAGGGGAGGGAGGGTGTTTTAGGACCACCCACGTTACTTGGGTTTCATCCACTGAGGACATCTAGACCAGGAAGGTGGGTTTAAGGTATGCAACTCTAGCTACACAAAATAAGTTGGTTTACCTTAAGCTGAGCATGGCAGTGGCCACACAGTAGGAGGCCAATGGGAGAAAATGCTCCAGTTGGTTTCCCTTACTCTTCGCAGCTTTGAGGAGTACAGGCCTTGCTTAGAGATGGCCTCAGCATTTGATTTATGGGACTTTACTAGATCCACTAAATTGAACACCGGCACGGTGCGTGAAGACGTGGCCCTGGTATCGAGTCTATTGGGCCTGAGGGGGTTTTCTTTTTGGAACGTGGAAATGCTGGTTTGAATCCGGATATCTGATTACGTGAACATTGGTCTATCTCCAGATGCTTCTGAAGAGAGTACAAAACCCCTCTAATGGACAATTACGGAAAAACCTGCTCATGTGAGGGGGAAATTTCTTCCTGACATTAGGCAGTTTGTGGCTGGCTATGTCCGGACACACAAGGGTTTGTAGAGTTTTCCACATTTTTTATTTTTATGAGACTATCTCAAGGCAGTGATTTCAACAGGTAAATCATGTTTTGTATTTTAAAGTATCGGTTTTATACTTGTTGCCTTTTTAAATTTGATTTATTGTTCACATTTTTGTACCACAAAACAGGGTAAACAGAAGTGCCTGACGCTGTCATTCATCACTTTACATTCCTTTTATCATGTTCCCTCTGTTCCTTTTTCCAAATGTAAATGGTCCTAATTTTTTAAACATCTCCTCTCATGACGTTCTTTGCATGTTAGATGGGAATGTCCCACCACTCTTCTTCAGAAACCCCTTCCCTTTCTGCACAGAAAATAAAAGCAGGGTCCTGGCTGAGCGAATTGTACTAGAAATGGGGCTGAGAACCTGCTGGCTTCACGGGCCCATTCAATACCAAAAATAACGTATCTGGCAAAAGCTGATTGTATTACTTTCCTCTTGGCACTCTGCCAGACCACAGACAAATCCGCTGACTTCCTGCCCCTTGAAACACCCTACAGAGGCTGCTTACAACTGTTTCATTGACATCCTCTCCGAACAGTCCAGGACCTGACTGGAACGTGGGCGGTCATGCCAAAGGTCAGAGCGATGGCCGTAGCCAGGCCTAGTGGTTAGAGTGGGGCTAAAGGACATGAAGGAAAAGTGGCCGAACTGAGGATGAGTCAGGGCTCAGAAACCAAAGCCTGAGCCAGAGACTTTGTCAGGAACTTAAGGATGGGAAAGAGCAAGAGCGAGCACAGGAAGCCGGATGGAACCCAGCTGCCAGCAGGGAATGTGTGGAGCAGTCGGTAAACTCTGGTTTCAGTAGTAATTAGCTCACCCCCCTCTATCAATTAAGGGGCTCCTGTTTAGGCTCAACTATGTCTAGTGTGTTAGGAGACTTTTCTGACAGTACCTCCCCCACCAAGGGTGCCTTCCAATGGTAGGAAGGCCTTGTCTTTCTGGCGAAAGGTGAGTGTGAGATCCAGAGCACGGACATTCCCTTCTGGTTCCCAAGATCCTTCTTCAAGGCCATCATCCTGCTCTACCAGGTAGTAAAGTTGACCTCAGAGTCACGTAGAATCCAGGATTTCTCAGACTTTATACGCAGCCTAACCCTGAACCTCCCTGCAATGGAGCTGCCAGAGCCGTGGTGTCCAACTCATTCTGAAGCAGTAGCCTGCTACAGTGGCTACCATTGTAGTGAACTAGCCACCTTATTCTGAAAATGTAAATTTTTTGAACCAACTAGCCACACTCCACTGGCCAAAGAGCCACATGTGGCTAGCATGTTGGACACCACAGTGTCCACAGGGAAAGGATTTTCTGGGTAGGGCTTTGGGGAGGAGAGGCATGTGGAAAACGGGGTGGACTTTCAGGGATTTAGACAGCTGGTTTTTTGCATGCTGTCCAGGTGATGTGTCAGTAATCTTGAACAGGCCTAATTTTGATGGTCTAATTTGGCATATGGGTGGGAGGATGAGATTTTTAGCAGACACCCTGGGGAATAAAGTTTAAGTGTTGGTGCAACTTGGTGACAGTCATCAGCATGATGCTTATATGTTTCCTTGGCATCTTCCCAGTTCCTTGAAAATTTGGTGAAGGTGGGAAATGAGAGCTGTTGCAACAAGATGAACTAAATGGAAACAGTGAAAACTTGAATGGCCATACAATGGACTGTGATGGATGGAGATATAGAAGGGAGTTATTTTAAGCAAATTTGGCATATTGCAGGAAAGTGATCTGGCCCTTTTGATGAGAGTTAAGGAAGCTCTGAAGATAATGCTTGAGGATTTGATTCACCTGCTCCATTTGCCTATTGGTTTGCCGATGGCAGGCTGTGTAGGTGAAGAGTTCGATTCCAGGAGGCTGTGCCAAAATCAGCAAGGGTGCATCTACACAGCAGTGTTATTTCTGAATAATGGCTGTTATTCCGATAGGACAATGTGAGCGTCTACACAGCAATGCCATTATTTTGAAATAAATTCGAAATGACAGCTTATTCTGACTTCTGTAAACCTCATTCCATGAGGAATAACAGTGTGATGTAGGGGGGCATCTTGCTGGTTCCTAGGCTTGGGCTGTCTGTCCCCTACTGGCCCTGTCTGTGAGCACGGCCCAGCAAGGGGCCCAGATGCTGTTCTGACTGGGGGGAGGGAAGGAGGTTGGAACAAAGTACGTACGTGGGAGGAGAGAGAGTTAGTCTGGGGCTGGAAACATGATGGAGACAGCCTAGGGAGGGGGCTTGGAGACTAGGGGCTCAGGCACCCGCCTTAAGGGGTCTGTGACATCCTAGTCCCCCTCCTATTGCCACATCACGTCTATGCTGGGCTGTATTCTGGAAAAAAAAATCAATAAACCCCTCTCTATTCTGCTGGCTGGCGGAGACTATTCTGGCTGCTGTGGGGGTGCAGAATCAGGGGAACCCCGACTGCACCGTTACAAACACCTCTTCCAAAATTGCTATTTCAAAATAGCTCCTCTCCAGGGTCATTCAAAGTAATTACTCACCAGTGCTTCCTGGTGCTCTAAATTGAGGTAGCACGTCCACATTCGGGGAGCCTGCCTTGGACTAATTTCAAGGCTTCTCTAGTGTAGAAGCGCTATTTCGAAATAAGCTATTTCAGGGTATTTCTTCCAAAATATCCTATTCTGAAATGGCTGTGTCTAGACTGGCAAGTTTTTTCCCCAAATCAGCTGCTTTTGCGGAAAAACTTGCCAGCTGTCTACACTGGCCACTTGAATTTCCGCAAGGACACTGACTTCCTACTGTAAGAAATCAGTGCTTCTTGCGGAAATACTATGCTGCTCCTATTCAGGCAAGAGTCCCTTTTGCGCAAAGCTTTTGTGCAAAAGGGCCAATGTAGACAGCTGAGATTTGTTTTGTGCAAAAAAGCCCCAATCACGAAAATGGCGATCGGGGCTTTTTTGTGCAAAAGCGCATCTAGATTGATACGGACACTTTTCCACAAAAAGTGCTTTTGCGGAAAAGTGTCCGTGCCAATCTAGACGCTCTTTTCCACAAATGCTTTTAAACGGAAAACTTTTCCATTAAAAGCATTTGCAGAAAATCTTGCCAGTCTAGACGTAGCCAAATAAATGTGCAATGTAGACGTGCCCTGAGTGAATTGTGGGTCCTACTCAGGCGCTATTCTAGTTGGCAATCTGTGGAAATGAAAAACATGGTTTAGGAAAGGGGAGTGTCAGGGTGCAGGTCCCCCACCATTCCTCAGTGCCCCCCTGACTATCCTCATCTAGCCCCTCTCAGGGCAAGTTACAGTCCGTGTGGGTTGCTCATCATTGGCACTGGGATTATCTCCGCGGCCCCGCTTACCTAAGCCACGCTGTGATCCGCCTCCAAACCCTGGGCATTGCCTCCGGCCCCTAGCCAGGGGAGTCTTAGCTGGCCTTCTCCTAGCCTTTGCTGGCTATCCCCAGCGGGTCTCCCTCCTGGGAGCTCCTGCTTCCTCCGCAGTCAGCCCCTCATTGGCTTTTTCCTAAGCACTGTGCTTCTCTATATAGCTGCCAGCTGGGCTCTCACTAGCCTAACAGCTTCAGCTGGCCTCTCTGTTCCCAGCCCCGGCTCAGGGCCTGAGTCTTGGTCTTAAAGGGCCAGTGCAGGGCAGGCACCCTGTCATAGGGAGTCTTTTTCTTTAATGGTGGAGATAGTGGGGAAAAAAGTACCATCTGAATGAAAAGATCAACTGCTACTAGGATGATGGTGTATCGTGGCAAGCAAGGTGGTTGTATAATCAAGTCCACCAACTTGATATGATGCACCAGGGGTGAGTTGGGTGGGCATCAGCTAGAGCAGAACAAGCAGTTGACATGTGGGAACTTGCTCTGATAACAGGTTCCTAGTGCTGCCTCTCTTTTCCCCCCACCCCCAACTCACCCTTGGCCATCAGAAACTTTGCACCACCATGTTGTGAGTTCTGGCAGGACAGCCGCTAGTACACCCTGGCAGATTCTCCATACTCCTGAGCTGACCTTCTGAAATGTAAAAGCACCACTCGTGATACAGGAGTAAACCATCCTGCCCAAGGAAGTCCAAGCTGAACAGGGTCACAGAGGTATTAAGTATGTGACAGATTTTGGCCACTTGCTGCTCTTTTGGGAGTAGTGACTGAATAAGGGACAGCACGCTCTGACTGTGATTCCACAAAATTAGCTGATCCTAGAATAGTGACTTGAGAAGCAGAGTTCAGATTGGTGTATTTGTCCTTGGGAGAAAAGGGCATTTGCTTTCCCATTGTGTGACCCAGGGCGGTAGGTGATAATGAAATCAAACCTGGTAAAGGCAGCCAACAGATCTGCCACTAAGATTATGGGCCATTCAAAGGTACTCTAAGTTCTTTGAATCTATAGGGACCTGGACTGCCACCACGCCCCCCTAAATCAGATCTTAATTCTTAAAATGCTGGTTTAATGGCAAGCAGCTCTTTGTCCCAGATATCATTTTCTCAGCAATAGTTCATGGGAATAATAGACACAAAGATGGTAGTTGGGGGAGGGGCACATTTTGCAAAAGCACAGCCCTGATTGTGAAGTTTGAAGTATCTGTTTCCTCAGTAAAAGACTTGGCAGAGTCTGAATGCCCCATAACAGGCACTGAACGAAAGCTTTATTTCGCTGATTGAAGGCTGATCGTATCTCTGCCAACCAGACAAAACGAAGCTGTTTTGGAGGAGTGCAGTTATCAGCGACACTAGCTAGGAAAATCCTGAAGTGCCAGCAAAAAATGGGCAAATCCAAGAAACTGCTAAACTCCCTTGACATCCTTTCAGCGTTCCACGTAGTGAGGGCATACACTTTCCCCAGGCTGTCTTGATAGGCCCTGTCATTCCTTTGTCCCAGTTTGAAAGTCCCACCTACATTCCTACTGGTCACTCCACCTGGCTAGGTGTAGTTAACCCCTTAATCCCCAGGCTGCTGGCTAACCCTCAATCATGACAGGCCCCCTTGGAGAAATGTAACTGAGGAAATTGATAGTGTCCTTGTCAAATTCACATTTCTTCAGTGTGGCATAGAAATCATTCTTCTGCGTGGGGGGGGGGGTGAGGGGGCTGTGTGCTCCCGGCTCCCGGGATGTGTGTGTGTGTGTGTGTGTGTTTCTGATTTTTGGAGACTAGTGGAATCTAAATAACAAAATGGAACCAGCATGTCCCAGAAAATTTTGTTCACAAAATGCTGAAATGTAGCCAGAGTGTTACACACCCCAAAGGAGATACAGATAGACAGACATAAAAATACAAAAAGGTCTACATTAAGTGTGAAGTGCTGTCTTCCATTTAGCAATGGCTGCTAAGGGTCAGAGTTCCACAGCAAGCCTGGTGACTTCAATATGTTTCTTACAAACTATAACAGTGACTGCTGGGATTCCAGCTGAGGTGAAGCATTAAAAAAGAGAATCGGGCATCAATTTTTTTATATCTGAGGAAGATTGACAGTGAACTACTACTACTGGAACACTACAAAGGAAGTACCCATTTGCTAAACCAAAATTATGGACAGAAGAAAAATGATCTTTTTATAATTCGAGCAAGAAGTGTACAGCTGTGAACTCAAAACTTCCAAATCTCATCTACTACATGAAGTTTCTTTCCTCCCCTCTGCATTTCCACTAAGAGTTTATGGGTCTTTTTTTAAAGGATGTATGCATGTTAATTGTCCACACTTCACTCTATGCAACTGCAAAACTGGGACTAATTGTTATGCTAATACGCAGAGGCTTTTACACCACATTACTTTGCCAGTATTGTTTTTTAAAGAAAAATACCCAGAATCAAACTAGCTACTGGGGCTACATCTAAACTACACCCCTCTGCCGGCAGAGGGATGTAAATTAGATGTTTCAAAAGTGCAAACGAAGTTAAATATCCCACGCCTCATTTGCATAATCACGTCCTGGTGCTTTTCAAATAAGCACCATTTCAAAACTGAAATCATAGTTTAGATGCAGTTTTTCCGACAACGGGGCGATTTTTCGAAAGATGCTGTACTCCTCATTTTTTGAGAACTAGTCACACTGGAAAGACAAAGTAAAAAAAGTTTCTTCTTTACATCACGTAGTGTTTTTACTTGATTAAAAAAATCCGGACAAGCCGCCACCAAGAAAGCTGTCAGGCTTGGAAGGCCAAAGGCCTAACGTTGGTTTTCTCGGTTCATCTTGTTGCATGGTCAATGCAAACAGCAGCGAAGGACACAGCAGCTTCCCCCTTGGCTCCCCTTAGCTGAAGAACAGGGGGCACCCCTTCAAAGGCTTGATTTGTCGATTAAGGCTGCAGCAGGCCGGCTACTAATTGCTTTGGGGGCGCCCCCTCATACTTCCGCTATTAGGGCTTGCTGGGTTCACACCCCTGCGTGGAAGCTCAGGCTTCCTCGTTCACACCAGACCCAGGAGCCCGTATATCGACCGCAGGTTTTCTCCTCCTCACCCCAGAAAGCTTCCTTGGCTACACCCTGAGTTTGGCCCAAGCCTAGCGGGGCACAGCGACATCAGCTGCTGCGGGGG